AAAATGGCCATACGATCTTAAATAAAAATGTAAAAAAAATAAAAAAAGAGATCTCATAGGAAATAATCTTTTAAATGCATTTACACCCAGCATATTGTCTTAAAAAATGTACATTATTTTGATCGGCAATAAATCTATGTAAATAAAGAAAAATTCCTTGTCGATTTGAAATGTTATAGAAACTTAATAAGCCATATAGTTGGATGCAATTTTTTGCTTATTTTTCAAAGAAACAGGAATTATTCAACGTAAATCACTTGCTTAATATTATAATCATTCTTTATTCATTTCATTTCGTTTGCAGCCAAATATCGTTTCGACACTGTATGTGTGATATCATTCAGCACGTTAACAAATTCTAAAAAATAGTTTTACGAATTTTATAAAATTACAAGATTACTATAAGATATTGCAAATGAAAATATCTATACATACTAATTATTATTTTTTGATCTTTAATTAATGCAAAAATGTACTGATTCATGTGCTAAAAAGGCGGAATTACTTTTATTTAAACAAAGAGAGTTAAAAATGATAAAAACATTTTCAGCAAGTTTTATAGCATCCCAAATTTTTCTTCATACAAAATAATATCATTGTTAGTGTTAAAAGTATGATTCATACTAATGACATGTTCTGAAAGCATGGTATTGTATTGGTTTGGATTTTTTAATTTACAGATATTTTGATCCATTCTCTTAATATATTTATCTTAATATATTTGTATTATTATAATACGTATTATTAAAATTGTATTTTTAAGTCCTCCTGGAGCTACTCGAATAAGTAAATAAATAAATATTGTGAACTTTCACCAATTATAAGAACAATTGCAATCGTTACAACTCATTTTATAAATAGTATTAGCAATACGCTTATTAGGTTTTTAAGACATTAAGAAAATGAATTATGATTATCGTATCGTAGGAAATGAAAATTAAGAAAACAACTTTTTTTTAAACAAATGTCAATTCAATGTCAATGTCAATGTCAAAATGTCAATGTCAATTTTAAAAATTGTATAGATATGCTGATCTTTTTTGGTAAAAATCTTGATATATTTTCTACTAACTTGATATTTTCATTTTTTATATCTTCTACTATTCTTATAATTTTATTAACTTTGTAAAATATTTTTGAAGTAAAACTTCTTTAGGCGCGAATGGGGTGTAAGTCCGTACAAATGCAACGGAAGTGCGTTACGGCAGATAAGAGTCGATATAATAAGTCTCGCTCTCGATGATATCATTTCTATACGGGTCGACTGTGATTAGTCGTCGTGTATGTGAATACAGATCTGTCATTGTATGCGTACCGATATCGACAAGGAAATCGGCATAGATAAATAACCATTTTAAAGTTACATCGTAGTACAAATCTTGATTTAATGAAAAATGCCTGAATCAGAAGAATATTTTACCCTGTTCCTTGAAAATAATAAAACAATTAATATAATTTGTACCGTGTACTGAACGTAAGTAGTTTCTACGAATAATTAAAGTTAAATCTTTGAAATTATTAAAATAGAAACTATTTTTTAGGCAAGACAAATATTGCAGCTGTCCAAAGAATGAAATTATATCGCTAGCGAAAAAGAAAAAACATATAAGCAGTCAATGAATGTATGTTAATTTTAATTACATGAAGTTCTTCAAATATATTTGTTTGGGCGTTGTCTAACATAATCCACTGTGTGAACGAATATTATAGAATTTATTTATCAGCAATTACTTCATTTCTCTAATGAAGGTTCATTTCTAAATGATAATTACAATGACAAACCGTTCATGTCATATTTGAAGTATGACTTTAATTACATAGTTGTTTTTAAATATTATACACATTTATAATGCTATTATAAATATAAAATTTATAATTTATCATTATATGAATGTGTATAATGGTTGACACTAATATTACTGATGAACATTATTCAAAATTGTTATATGATATATTTATTTTTATTTGAATGCCATCTTGTACAGTAGCAAATAATTTTTACTTCAATTGCGTGTGAACAAATAATTTTTACTTCAATTGCGTGTGAACCTTATGCGTACTTTTTTTTAGAATTTGTTAAGTATGCCGAACGATGACACACATGCAGTGTCGAAACGTATATAATAAACAGTTAATTATTAATTTTTTTTTATTCTGACTAAAGTTGATATAATTATTTTAATATTAAATACTTACATTTGCCTTTTTCCAGTGTATTTGTAATATGTATCTATCAACAGGGCGGGCAGAAGCGTGTATATGAAAAACTGGAAATACATACAATTTATTAAATTATACCAAGTTTTATAGATCAATTAATTAATTACTATTTGGTAATATCCTCACCATAACTTTAAAAACTAACTCGATCTTGGTGTAAGCGCATCTAGGAATTCTAATTGCATTATTATAAGGGTGATTCGCCAACATCAGTGTGGAGACCTTGTAAAACTGAGTTTGGGTTATTTCGTAGTAGCCCTTGATGGAACAATTGTACACGGGCAACTTGTCGTCACCATTCCTTAAAATATAGCAATTGAATTAAACTCAAAATTTGAATAATTTATTTCTACTTACCGTTTTATTCCCTTCTCCCATGCGGCGATTACAAGTGCCTTTACCACCATGTCGACAGGTGTATTGTCGACGATGGCATCTCCATCTACGATGAAATTTCGAAGGAGACCTATGATTAATAACAGGATTATTAATTAGTATTTATTTTGGATGATTACCAAAGAAATATAGACCTTTTCCAATTGCAATTGTTAAACCAACCGGTCCATTCATGTTGTCCGCCCAGCCTGGTAATGGGTCTTTCCACATTGAGACAACTGTAGAGGAAGGAAGGTGAATGAGATAGAATTTATGCCTCATATGCTCTGTCTAAAGACATGTTTATGATCTAGTGGCATATTGTTTTTGGTTTATGTCACTAATTTCATTCATTTATCTTGTGTGTGTTAGTAGAATTACTGTTTGGTAGTCAAGGCTTGGTTATTCGATCTTTGCACAAATAGTGTTGTCTTAGGGGACGTCCACTAATGACGTGATCGATTTTTTAAAGATTTTTAAACCCTCTACCCCCTTGGTGATACGCGGTGATATTTGAAATTACTCCCCATTCACCCCCCAAACAACACGTGTATTTTTAGTTACATTTAAAAAAAAATCAGGCAAAAAAATAAATACAAGTGATATCTTAGTATATCCCTCCTTTCCCTCAAGTGATTAATAGACCTCCTTACGATGTTTTTTGTATTCAACTAGATGACCCGACAGACGTTGTCCTGTATCCATGCCTAATTTTTAATGTAATATACTAATATTTACCAGTCACCTAAAAATAATAATTATTATTATAAATTACTCTTCACGCCAAAATGCCAATACATTTATAATATGAGCGATGTTAAATGTAGAACTGCTTTAAATAAAATGATGGGTCTCAATTCCTACACTATATTGGAAATTGAAGTCTTTTATACGGTATAACATAACCATAAACATAACATAACACTTGTACTTCAAGTTGGAATAAATAAATTGAATTTTTCGCTATTTAATATATCCAAAATTGCATCTTAAACTTCTCCTAATCGATATCGTGAAGGTCTAATTGTATGTATTCATCTTTACTTTCCCGTTTGTTGTTATAAAGTGAAATATTTACTTTTTTTTAAAATTTTAAAAAGATTGTGGAAATTAGTAAAAGGTGCAAAGAAAGATTAGTAAAAAATACAAAGAAATTATATATTGAAAAGAAACTATATTAAAAATTTAATATCTGTATCTTGTGTTGGCGCCCCCTAAGGCGTGCGCTCGTATTTTTTGCATGCATCTCATTGAAGGTAGGACCGGCCCTGATTAATGCTTAATTTCATATTTTAAGTGAATTAATTTTTAACTTCCCGTAGGGCAAGTTATAGTAATCGCAAAAAAATCAAAAATGAAAATTTTTATATATCTTTACGTTTCAGAGGTTTCTGAACATTTTGGCATACCTAAGAAAAAATGAATGTATGTGTGTGTGTATGTGTGTGTGTGTATGTATGTATGTATGTACGTATGTACGTGTGTGTATGTATGTGCGGATACAAATTTTCGTCGACGATTTCTGGAACACGGATCAACCGATTTGAATAATTTCGTTTAAGTAATTTCGATTCGTATTGATAAGGAGACGTGCTGATTAGTTTTTGGCGAAGGCAGGTCTAGCCGTTTCGAAGATACGGGGCAAAAAGTGTCGAAAACGGTAACTCAGTTTTTAAGAGAACGGAGCGTCCGATTTGAATAATTCAAAAAACATTTCACAACAAGTATTGACAAGATGAAATCGATAAAATTTTCATGAAGGTAGGTCTAGCCGTTTCGGAGATATGGAGGAAAAAGTAAAAAAATGAGTCATTTGGCGGTCAAAAATGATCATTAGACGTATGCACATCAAATTATCAGATATTTTATAGAGATTTTAACAATAAGTATACATTTTGTTAACATTTCTATGGGTTCCGTACCAATGCTTATGCGTTAGACAGCGACGCGGCGCTTACGCGCTTTATATTTTGTCCTTATGCAGTTAAAGCAGTACGATTGCTTTGAAAAAAAAGTTCAGATCATCCACAATATGTCCAAATAAAGAAAAAAAAAATTTTTTCAAATTTTTTGTCCAATTTATAGTTTCTCAAAAATCTTCTTTTTTCAAAGTAAATTTTTTTCAAAAATGTTAATCGTTTTTAAAAAAATAATAATTTTTGGTACGGGAAGTTCCAGAAATTTGCCTTAAGGCACGATGCCTTAATTGCCTTAAGACAGAATTTCTTTTACAGCTAGTTTGTCATATCCTGTTCACATGTGTATCATTTAATCTGCCATACATATACAGTATCTTATATTAATTTGTGACACATCTCGGCTGCTTTTTGGCAATAATAATGTAGACATTTTATTTTTCTTATTTATAATCATAAATTTATTATACATATTCTAATATTGTCTAGGTTCATAAATATATCGAAATTTTTGGCAGATGATAGTTTTTATTTGTTTTCAATGCAAACAATGACATGCCGTTTTTTGCAATTTTTTCCATTTATTTCTACAATATTGCACCTACATCCCAGTACTTTATAATCACATACATCCTAGAAAATTTCCTTAACAAACTTTAGAAAGATTTATCAAAATCCGAATAATCGTTTAGGATAAGTAAACAGTGAGTGCTTGTAATTTAATTTGAACTTTATATAATAGCAATAAAGCTCAAATTGATCATACGTTTTAGTTAGAGAACGTTTGTATGTGAAAAAGAAAAAGGTTGTTTTTACGGTTTTCGGGCAATTTTTGGATTTTTTCTCTTCGTAAGAACAATCTTTGGACTCCAATAAACATTTTAAAAAAAGAATTAGCCAAATTGGTCCAGGCGTTATTGAGTTATGCGCTTACCAACACATTTTGCGATTTATTTTAATATATAAGATAATTTCGGAGGTTGGTTTTGCACAATTTAGTTTAAGGAACTTGGATGTTCAATATTTGGGTAATGAGGACTCTCATATTTTACATAAAAATTGAGCTCTTTGTACTTAAGGAATTTTAAGCATTCAACATTTGACACGAGACTTTGTTGAAGAAGTCTTTGGCATTAAATATTTGGTACGTGGCAATTGGGCAAGGACTTGAGAATTTAATATTTGAGTTTTGATGACTATAGTTCGAAGTAAGAAACGCTACTATTGGCATCGATTATACGTATATTTAATACCTGGGCAATAAAGACTTTACTTTAGATTTGACTTTAGTTAAATTTGTACAATGGCCATTAATAATAAAAATCCTCGAAACCTTGTCATGAATATAATTTTCTTTACCTATTCCTGGTCTGTACAATACGAGAGGCAACCTATCAGCATAATCTTCAACCACATTCTCTGCCAAATGCTTCGTGTAAACATAGGTGTTCCTCATGTTTCCTTTAATCCTGCAACAAAAATCAAACAATGCACCATGTTTCATCAATATATTAATAATCTATCCTTACAATGGTGTCAAACAAGCTGCCTTGTATTCGTCATCGATTCCTTCGGCAACCCTGATGGCTTACCTCCAATCTCCGTGGTCTCTATACACTTTTTCTTCGATGACATTTTTGTCGGTGTTGCAATAGGTGGTTGAAACGTGGACACCAACCACCAGATTTGGCATTTGCAACATCAGTTCCATCATTTCTCGAGTTCCTCTGGTGTTCATGAGGGTTGCCTTTTTTATAGGATCGTCGAATCTAAAAAATAAATGAAATATAGAAATATGCATAAAATCAAATGCCAGCAGTGATGGCAATTTGTAGACCAAAACCAGTGAAAATTGCTGGAATTTAGACATTTCTAGATTTGGTGCTGATGGATGTCTATAAGGAGAATGTGCTAGGTTTGGTAGCAGATTGATTATCTATTCACCTGACACTGGCAGCAACATGAAACACTACATTAGACTTTAAAACTATTTTTTTATCCTTTTCGTTTAGTCCCAACCCCAAACTGGTGACATCACCACCCACAGCCGATACTTTGGTCAATGCCTCAGGATTAGTCTCTCTTAGCAAATCGAATAACTGGAAAATGATTTACAATTTATTCAATTTGTCTGTATATATATTTCTCAATAGACATGTTTGATTATTCACCGGATTTTGCAAAATATCGTCGACTCTTTCCGAAACAGTTTGTCCTTTCTTCTCGCGAATCAGCAGGACGATGCTTTTTACATCTGGACATGATCGTAGAAGTTTTTCGATTAGAACTTTGCCAATGAAACCTGAGAAAATAATATTGGTTAGATAATTAAGAATTAAGATTTTGTACTAGACTAGTTTAAATACCCGTTCCGCCAGTGATGAAAATTTGTTTGTCTTTAAAAAATTCAGGAATGCTCGGCACGTCCATGTCTGAAACTTTCAATCAAAATTTTTACATTCAATAAAATTAATACGAAAAACCATTCACTTTTAATTGAATATTTTAAAATACTTTTTTTTGTTGATTTTCTATAACTCTGGTATGAATGGACTGATGTCTAAATTGTGACTAAAACTTTCCAGTTTTCGTTTTCATGAATTTTAAATTTATTTAAATTGAAAATTTGATTAAAAATCGAAAATAATGTCGATTAGAATACAGAATGTTCGATTGTTACTAAAATGACTATTCAGTATTCCCGTATGCTTCATGTTTAATTAATTTATTGACTAATTGAATAATTTAAATTGCAACACGAGGTCTATATATTGTATTCGAATAGTAGAATCACTGACCATGCCCCAATAAATGGTTAAAATCTATCGCAACTACAACTACAAATATGTATATATATATATATATATATATATACATCTAAGTCTGTTTTTACACGGAGATTGGTTCCAGAAGAATCCGTGTAAAAAAAAAAACGTGTAAAAAAAGACATTGATCTTATACAAAAATGGGTGATTTGTTTCTAATCTCTAAAACCTATTAAAATTGGTGAAAAACGAGAATTTTTAAGAACAAGAATTAAATTAGTGCTATTCACATTTGCTTTGACCAGTAAAAATTGTTTGTACGCGCTAAAGGAGAATTCACTTAAATCTTTAAGCTAGTGTTCGCAAACTATCGATACTATCGATGGTTTCAGACTTTTTTCTTTCATAAATACTTTTTTGTGATATGAACATACTTCGCAAAAATAAAATTTGACAAAAGAATTTAAGTACATAAAATTTCAAATCGTGCTAAATGGAATAAAATCGTGTAAAAAAATTAAAAATATTCAATTTTCAAACCGTGTTATATCAAAACCGTGTACAAAAAGACCGTGTAAAAACAGACTTAGGTGTATATATATTTATAACTAATACTACTTGGCGACGATCAGCCGTTTTTTAGTGATTAAGAGAGAAGTAAAAAATATTCGTCCACGTTTTAGCTAAATATTTTGACTCGATTTTAAAAATTTAAAAACTATTAGAAAGATGTTTTTTGGGAACCGAGCTGATAAGCTTTCGATAAAGATCGGTCGAGTCGTTTTTTAGTAATTACCTTTTGAAAAATATGCTGAGTAATATCATGGTCTTGAAGAACATACTAAAACTTTACGGTCCTACGGCAAGTAGTTTAATTTTAAAAAAAGAGTGCGCGTAAGGGTCACACGCGATTGAAGTAAAACTTATTATATAGTAAAATAAATACATCATATAACAATTTTGAATAATGTTTATTAGAAATATGGTAACACTCGTGATGCACACATTTATTAGTGTCGACGATTATGCACATTTATATAATGATAAATTATAAATTATATATTTATGATAGCATTAAATATATGTATAACATTCAAAAACAATAATGCAATTAAAGTCATACTTCAAATACGACATGATCGGTTTGTCATTGTAATTAGCATTTACGACTTGAACCTTCATTAGAGAAATGAAGTAATTGCTAATTAATGAATTCTATAATATTCGTTCACACAGTGGATTATGTTAAACAACGCCTAAACAAATATTGTTTTTGCAACTTCACTCATCATGTAATAATTGTGTTTGAAGAACTTCATGTAATTAAAATTAACATACATTCATTGACTGATGGTAATTTTTTTACTTTTTCGCTGGCGATATAACCTCATTCTTTGAACAGCTGTAATATCTGTCTTGCCTAAAAAATATTTTCCATTTTGATAACTTCAAAAATTTATAGAAACTACGAATGATATAGAAATAATTTTTAATCAATGAACTTACGTTTAGTACATGGCACAAATGTTTCATTTGTTTTATTATTTTATTAAGGAACAAGGTAAAATATTCTTCTGATTCAGGCATCGTTAATTAAATCAAGATTTGTACTACGATGTAACTTTAAAATGTTTATTTCCTTGTTGTTTCCGGTACGCATACAACGACAGATCTCTATTCACTCGACACGACGATTAATCACAATCGACCCGTATAGAAATAATATCATCGAGAGCGAATGACGAATTATTGGCACTCTTATCTTATCTTATCTCATCTGCCGTAACGCACTTCCATTGCAATTGTACGGATTTACACCCTAGTCCGCGCCTAAAGAAGTTTAACTTCAGAAATCATTAAAGTTTTAAAAAATATGATAGTCAAAATTTGTGTCGTATTTGGAAATGTGATAAGTTAAAATTTGAATTTTACAAATTTAAAAGCCATTTTCTTCTAGTTAACAATTGTATCTAAATATCTAAATCTCTGTTTCGGTTGATTAAGTCAACTATTACACATTTCGGGAAGTTCATGCAACTTGCCTTAAGGCAAAATGCCACTTTCAGCTAGTTTTACACTGAATGTTAGCTAGAATGATACAATTCATACATTTTTATTGATCTTTAAATCCAACTCATATAAATTATATCAACGACAAATTCAAAATTTTATTATTACTTTTTATACAAAAATAGATAAACAATTTTTAACAAACTTAGTATAGAACAAAACATAAATTATAACACCGTACATAATGATGTTCGATATGTAGTGGATGTACAACAATCTGTAAATAATTATTAGAGTCAGTTTTGATTTTTAAAATGAATTTTTGATAAATTTCATTTACCTCTTGTGAGATCTCCTTGCCGATGGATAGTCGATATCTTCTTTCAATAAATATTTAGAAGCTCCTTCTCTCGCATTTTTCATATATTCGTCAAAGTCGAAATCGTCGCTACTGAAGAAAAAGTCCTCCCTAGATAATTGTAAAATATATACACATATATATATATATATATATATATAAAATTCTTCTGAACGGGTGTATGATTTGATACCTCTCCTAAACGGTTTTTCGTATTTTGATAATTCTTTTTAGAATTTGTCAAAGAAAATTTTTAAGATTCAATGCACGATAAACCTATAATAATATTGTAGAAATAATTTGCAAAAACTTACAAAAAACCACTCATCATTGTTTGACATTGAAAACAATTGATCTGCTAGAAATGTCGATTCTCTTGAAATTTAAATTTAGTTGAAATTATGAGCCTAGATAATATTAGAATATAATATACAAGAAAAATGTAATGTCTACATTATTATTGCCGAAGCGCAGCTGAGATGTGCCAGAAATTAAAATAATATAAGATACAGTGGACAGTATATGTTTGGCAGATGAAATTCTATAATTCAGTTTAATAAATAAAGCAATTTTAAACTTATGCATGTCGCATTTTGGTTTACTTTACTAAATTATTTAACAATACAAATAAACATTTCAACCTATTAAAAAAAAGATGTAGAATTTTGTTTTCATCAACAAATCCTTTTGGCTATTTTTTTTCTCGACTCGAATGAGACCAAATTTCGAAAAAGTGTGTATGTGTGTGTGTGAACACATTTTTAACCTTTTGTCGACGATTTCTCAAAAACAACTGAACCGATTTCAGAAAATTCGATGAGGACTTGCGTTTGTCAGTTTTTCGTGACTATCGGCCAAGCCGTTTCTTTGTTAATAGCAGAATTTTTTTTTTTAAATTTTATAAAAGCGTGTTTGTGTGTGTGTGTGTGTGTGAACAGATTTTTTACCTTTTGTCGACGATTTCTCAAAAACGACTGAACCGATTTCAGAAATTTAAAAGTAACTCGATAAGGACTTGCGTTAATAAAAATGAAAAATTATCCGTCCAAGTTTTAGCCCGTAATTTTTTCTTAATAATAGACAATTTATTGAGCTATAATATTGCTGTAGACTATAGTGCAAAATTTTAACTACTTTAGCAGCTATAGCTAAAATAGTGCAAAAATATCAAAATGCGCATTTCCGAATGTATAAGCCGATTTAAAAAATTATTTAAAAATATTAAATTTATTTTACAATTTTGTAATGTATGGCAAGTTTATAGATAATTTGTGTACAAATTTGCTTAAGACTAAAATATATTATTTTAGCTGGTTTAGAAACGATAGCTCTAATAGAAGAAAATTGCACCTTGCAAATAGAACTCACTTTAAATAATCAGTCAACTAGTGGGGCGCATGGCATCGTGCCTTAAGGCAAATTGCAAAGGCAAACTTCCCGTGCCAAGAATTATTTTTTTTTAAAAAGAATAACATTTTTGAAAAAATTTACTCTGAAAAAATTAGATTTTTGAGAAACTATAAATTTTTGACAAAAATTTACGTTTTTTTGTAAAAAAAAGACTTTCTGAAGAAAAATTTATTTTGAAATATTTTGGAAATTCTGAACTTTTGTCATAGCAATCGTACTGCTTTAACTGCATAGAGACGGAATGTCAAAGCGCGTAAGCGCCGCGTCGCCGCCTTACGTATAAACATTGGTACGGAACCCATAGGAATGTAAACAAAATTTATACTTATTGTTAAAATCTCTATAAAATATCTGATAATTTGATGTGCATATGTCTAATGATAATTTTTGACCGCCAAATGGCTTTTTTTTTACTTTTTTGTTAGATCTCCGAAACCGCTCGACCTGCCGTCATAAAAATTATATCAATTCTTCATCTTGTCAATACAAATATTATATTTGTTTTTTGTATTATTCAAATCGGACTCTCCGTTTTCTTAAGAACTGAGTTACCGTTTTTGGAACTTTTTGCCCCGTATCTTCGGAACGGATAGACCTGTTTTCGCCAAAAACTAGTCAGGACGTCTCCTTTTCAATAGGAATCGAATGTTTTTTGAATTATTCAAATCGCTTCATCGGTGTTCCGAAATCGTCGACGAAAATTTGTATCCGAACACACACACACGTTGAAACGTAAAGATATATAAAAATTGTAAATTCAAATTTGTAAATTTTGTAAATTCAAAAACCGTTTGAAAGATATTATTTGGGAACGGCCTGATTATTTGCGGTAAAAATTCACTGGCACAATTTCTTATAATCAACTCTTGAAAAAAAATTGTTTTCGGCGATTAATTATAATCATGGAATAGATAGAACATACTAAAATTTTTCGGGCCTACGGCAAGTTGTTTGATTTTAAAATTTCATCTAAGTTTGAAAAAATATTATAGTCTAAGTTTGTGTGTTCTCTACTTGAAAATAGCATCGTTGAAACATAACATGCTTCACTTTACTGGTGGTAGACCTTTTTACCCGCCGACATTTGAACCCTATTATATTGGTAATGTAATATGTACCTCCTATTATTTCTATGTTACCTGTCGCAGTCCTTTAACTTTTTCGTCAGGGCCCAATTTTTCTCGCACTTGAAGTCCCAGCTTCTCACCGAGAAGAATGACACGGCCATCATGCCCACATAGGCCTTTCTTGCAATCTTTTGGACCCTTGAAATGGATAAATGTAATTTTAATTTTTACATTTCGTATAAGCTTTCTTATTTACAATTAGTTAAGCAATAATTTTTTGAACAAGAAATATTGAAAATACATTCTATTTATATTATGATTGATGAGTTTTTTGATGAAAGGATAAAGGTCTGGTTATATTATTCAATTCTTACACTTGTCTTTTTCCAGTATATTTGAAATAGGTGTCGATCAATATGGCAGGCAGAAGCGTGTTTATCAGAAACTGCAAATAATAAATTTATTATTGCCCGTTATACAAAAATACTACGACATGCAGATATTAATTAAATAAAATAAATCCCTCACCAAAACTCTGAAAAGTAATACGTTTGTAGTCAAAACTGTGTTAGGGACTCTGATTGCATTGTTGAAAGGGTACTTCTCCATGACTTTTCTGCCGTTCTCGTTGAATTGCCTCTGGGTCATATCGTAGTTCTCCTGGACGGAACAATTGTACACGGGTAACTTCTCTTGAGAGACCCTTAAAATATAATATTATAATAAATTATAATAGACAATTTGAATGATCTAAAAAAATTTCTCCTTGTATTGACAAAAAACAATTGCTTTTGAGGATAAAAAAATATTACATCTTTTTTATCTTCCATAAAATATTTTTGTATTTTTGGATTAAAAATTAAAACTAGTGGGGCGCATGGCATCGTGCCTTAAGGCAAATTGCTGGAACTTCCCGTACCAAAAATTATTTTTTTTTAAAAGATTAACATTTTTGAAAAAAAATTACTCTGAAAAATTAAATTTTTGAGAAACTTTAAAATTTTGACAAAAATTTCCTTTTTTTTGAAAAAAAAAGACCTTTTGAAGAAAAGTGTATTTTGAAATATTTTGGAAATTCTGAACTTTTTTTCAAAGCAATCTTACTGCTTTAACTGCATAGAGACGATAAATGAAAGCGCGTAAGCGCCGCGCCGACGTCTAACGGATAAGCATTGGTACGGAACCCATAGGAATGTAAACAAAATTTATACTTATTATTAAAATCTCTATAAAACATCTGATAATTTGATGTTAATATGTCTAATGATCATTTTTGACCGCCAGAGATGGCATTTTTTTTTACTTTTTTTTACTAGATTTTCAAAACCGCTAGACCAGCCTTCATGAAAATATGATCAGTTCTTCTTGTTAATACAAGTAAAATGTTTTTTGAATTATTCAAATCGGACACTCCGTTCTCATAAAAACTGAGTTACCGTTTTTGGCACTTTTTACTCATATCTTCGGAACGGCTAGACCTACCTTCGCCAAAAACTAATCAACATGTTTCCTTATCGATACGAATCGAATGTTTTTTGAATTATTCAAATCGCTTCATCCGTGTTCCCAAAATCGTCGACCAAAATTTGATCCGCACACACACACATACACGCACAAACACACACACACATACATCAATTTTTTATAAGGTATGCCAAAATGTTCACAAACCTCTGAAACGTAAAGATATATAAAAATTTCATTTTCGATTTTTTTGCAATTACTATAACTTGCCCTACGGGAAGTTAAAAGTTAGCCAGGCTAAGCACAGTCTAAGCGCCACTCTGGTACAAATGTTTACCCAAGTGCGTTTAGACTGTTTATGTACTGGGGCACTTTTCCAATTTTGAGAGAAAACTATTGAAAAATGTGAAAATGCCGCCAAGCTAAGCACACTATAAGTGAAAATGTCGCACAGAATTATTTGCAAATGCGTTTAGACTGTGACTAAACGGGAGCACTTTTTCAATTTTGTGGAAATTAGCCTATTTTTTTTTTAAATTGAATTCGAAATGAAATGACAATTGGTAATGTTCTGGAGATAAATTTGATTGATTTATGATTTCAATTTGATTTGCTCAGATATAACAAACAAGATAGCAAAAATAATGAAAGTTACAGTATTTGTAATAATATATTTGAAAACGTTTAAAATTTCTCGAATATTTCATTACGGCACGGGAAGTTCCAGCAATTTGCCTTAAGGCACGATGCCATACACCACTAGTTAAATTTTGGTACTTTACCGGTATTCCGGTTTTAAAATGAAAAATTACCGAAATACCGGTATTGAAATTTTTCCCTAATTCCCTGATTGGGATGGCACTAAATAACTAAATAACTTTTTTGACAATCTTGCCTCTGCTTTTTATTAGCAAAGAACTGGAGGTACAATTTGACACCATCTGAATCAATTTGTTTGAATTCGAGTAGTTTTGTAGCTGTCGAAATAGAACGTAATGCAATGGTGCAAGGGCAGGTTTATATGGTGGATGTCAAAAAGTTTCTCAGAACAAGCTCCAACAGTCAATTACCATTTCGATTTGCCAATTCAAGTCCATTTTATTCAAGTTTGTTGTTTAATTTCGTTAGTAGTTCAGTATTAGCGTTCCGTTAGTTGGTAAGGGTAAAAGCCGATAATTCCTTTGTAATCAACTTCAACTGGACGGCCAGAGCGTTATTCATCTTTGAGTGGAAATTATTAGAACGAAATTTGACAAATCAATATGGACACTGCTGTTTTTTAGGCTTTTGTGAGCTTAAGGTCCGTTTGTTAGAAAAAATAAGGAAAAAACTGACAAGAATGACTAATGGATCGTCTACTAACCAATAACAAAATGTATTTGACATTTAGACTAACTAAAATAAAGCCAGCTATGTAATACTTACACTTTTATTCCCTTCTGCCAAGTAGCGATAATGAGACCCTTCACGACAACATCGACAGGGAAATAGTCCATGACGTTGTCCTGGGCTATGAGCGCTGCTCGAAGAAGACCTGTAAATAAAAAATGATTCTATAAAGCTACCGAATATCAATATTGTTTGTTCACAATAATATTGACCTTTTCCAGAGGCTATAACCAAACCTACCGGCCCATTCATATTGTCCGCCCAGCCTGGTAACGGATCTTTCCACATCGAGATAACTGTAAAGCAATATGATAAAGGATAATTAGTCCAGTCATTTGGTGCAAAAAAGGCTGTTGCCGGTACAGTACTCCGGGAATTCTGAAAATTGGTAATATTATAGATTTTGAGGTGCTCTTTGCGAAAATCAACTTTGCCACCTCAAATTTGAACGGCAAGTTGCCGCAATATTGAAAAAATGGCGTCAAAAAACAGCTTTTTCAAAATATCTCCTTTCTGGCTGATTCTGCGTAAAAATTATCTGTGTACGAATTAAACTAGATAAAATTTCCTACAATTCCTTAGAAAACCGTTTTTTTGTAAAATTGATAGTTTGAGAGTACGGCCGCCTCAAAGTCTTTGCTGCTCTCGCCGTAGTATCAAATCTCTCCATATATGACAGCACTTCGAACTTGACCACATTCTCTCTAATAATTAATATTTTCAATGTTAAATTAAGCGAATGAGATCTAGAAATAAAATAATTCAAATATTTTTCTGTTTTTTTTGCTGATTTTTTAACGCTTCAAGCTACTTGAAGCTATAAGGTGCTACTCAAGCTATAAGTATACTTATAGCTACTTTGCCATTGAAGTGTTAAAAAAATAGCAAAAAAAACGATAAATATTTGAATTATTTTATTTCTAGATCTTATTCGCTTAATTTAACATTGAAAATATTTATTTATTAAAAGGTATGTGGTCAAGTTCAAAGTGCTGTCATATATGGAGAGATTTGATACCACGGCGAGAGCAGCAAAGACTTTGAGGCGGCCGTACTCTCAAACTATCAATTTTACAAAAAGACGGTTTTCTAAGGAATTGTAGGAAATTTTATCTAGTTTAATTCGTATATAGATACTTTTATCGCAGAATCAGCCAGAAAGGGGATATTTAAAAAAAGCTGTTTTTTGACGCCATTTTTTCAATATGGCGGCAACTTGCCGTTCAAATTTGAGGTGGCAAAGTTGATTTTCGTAAAGAGCACCTCGAAATCTATAAGATTACCAATTTTCAGAATTCCCGGAGTACTGTACCGGCAAAACGACCAAATGACTAGACTAAATGGTAATTTGTCTGTTTTGTTTTTGGTTTATGTCTCTAATTTTTTGGCATGGCGAACTTTCAGTTTTTATGCCGTGTGTTAGTACTATTGGTGTTTGGTAATCAAGGTCTTGGATATTCGAATTTTGAACAAATAATGTTGTCTTAGGGGACGTCCACTAAACACGTGATGGATTTTTTAAAAGATTTTTTGACACTTCTCTCCCTTGGTGATATATAAAATTAGCCCCCCCCCCCTCCCATCAAACATCACGTGTATTTTTAATTACAAGAAAAAATGTAAAATTTTTGATTTTTTTTAAATGTATGAATTTAAAAAAAAATAGGTGAAAAATAAATACACGTGATATCTTTTCTCTCCTAAGAACCTCAAGTAATGGACGCCTCCTTATGGTGTCTTAGTTTTGGAGTTTTGGTTTTGCACAATTTAGTACCAGGAACTTGGATATTTAATATTTGAGTAATGAGGACCTTGATATTTTATATTTGAAAATTGAGAAACTTGATGTTCAACATTTTGTTATCGAGGACTTTGCTTAAGGAATTTTAAGCATTCAACATTTGACACCAAACTTTGTTGAAGAAAACTTTGATGTTAAGTGGCACAACTAGTGTATCCGCCTAAAAAAAGGTGATTTTTGACAATTTATATTAAAAAAACTTCTTTGTCAATCATTTCAAAATTTTAGGAATATATTTATACATGTTTTTAGATTACATAGTAAAATTTTTGAAGAAAAAAATTAAATATTTTTTAAGTTATCGTCGATCTCCAACGACGCGACAAAAAAAAGACCCTTCACTGCTGCAGTGATTCCGGCCTTCTACGTGGATGAAATTTAAATAAAAATTCTTGTTAAACTAGATAATATTGTCTGTAAAATGAACTACGATAAAGAAAAAAAATAAAAATTGACAAAACGACGGCGTTTTTTTTAAAAACAGTAGAATTTTACCCAAAGTTTTGGTTGTTTTTGGATTGCCAAAATTCGATTTTTGTTCCGATCAAAAAGTCGATAGTTCATTTCACGGAGAACTATATATAGAACATGTAAAAAAAATTTGATAGTGATCGGATCATTTGTTTTTGAGTAATCGCTGCAGCAAATTCGGAAAATGCTGTTTCGAGAAAAACGCGTTTAAAGATTAAATGATCGTTATACTATATACTAGATATATACTCTTTAAATGGCTGTAATTCAAAAACTATTTAAGATATCGATTTAAAATTTTTGGTATGTTATTTTTAAAGATATAACCTATTGAAATATAGAAAAATTGAAAATTCGATTTTTTGAAAATTTCACACTAGTTGTGCCCCTTAAATATTTGGTACATGGCAATTGGGCAAGGACTTGAGATTTCCATGTTTGGGTGTTAATGACTGTTTAATGCCAATTTTATTGGCAATAGACTTATAGCAAACCTTGCACAAAGTTATTATTAATAAAAAAAAACTTTTTTAGAACTTTGTCATGTATATTGTTTTGTTCGATTATCTTACCTATCCCCGGTCTGTACAATATGAGAGGCAACCTATCAGCATACTCTTCAACCACATTCTCTGCCAAATGCTTAGTGTAAACATAGGTGTTCCTCATGTTTCCTTTAATCCTGCAACAAAAATCAAACAATACACCATCATATTTCATCAATATACTATTAATCTCTCCTTACAATGGTGTCAAACAAGCTGCATTGTATTCGTCCTCGATTCCTTCGGCAACCCTGATGGCTTCCCTCCAATCTCCGTGGTTTCTGTACACTTTTTCTTCGATGACATTCTTGTCGGTGTTGCAATATGTGGTTGAAACGTGGACACCAACCACCAGATTTGGCATTTGCAACATCAGTTCCATCATTTCTCGAGTTCCTCTGGTGTTCATGAGGGTTGCCTTTTTTAAAGGATCGTCGAATCTAGATTAAAAATATATTATAGAAGTATATATATAGTCAAACGCCAGCTGTTATGGCAATTTGTAGATGGAGATGTTGAAAAATGCTGGTGGAAATTTGATTTTGGCTGATTGATTGCCAACTAGTGTTGATCCTGAAATAAATCTATTTTCCATTCACCTGACACTGGCGGCAGCATGGAACACAACATTAGACTTTAAAACTATTTTTTTATCCTTCTCGTTTAGTCCCAACCCCAAACTGGTGACATCACCACCCACAGCCGATACTTTGGTCAATGCCTCAGGATTAGTCTCTCTTAGCAAATCGAATAACTGGAAAATGATTTACAATTTATTCAATTTGTCTGTATATATATATATATATATTTCTCAATAGACATGTTTGATTATTCACCGGATTTTGCAAAATATCGTCGACTCTTTCCGAAACAGTTTGTCCTTTCTTCTCGCGAATCAGCAGGACGATGCTTTTTACATCTGGACATGATCGTAGAAGTTTTTCGATTAGAACTTTGCCAATGAAACCTGAGAAAATAATATTGGTTAGATAATTAAGAATTAAGATTTTGTACTAGACTAGTTTAAATACCCGTTCCGCCAGTGATGAAAATTTGTTTGTCTTTAAAAAATTCAGGAATACTCGGCACGTCCATGTCTGAAATTTTCAACCACATTAATAAAATTAATACGAAAAACCATTCACTTTTAATTGAATATTTTAAATTACTTTTTGGTTGATTTTCTGTAACTCTGGTCTGAATGGACTGATGTCTAAATCGTGACTAAAATGTTCTACTTTTCGTTTTCGTGAATTTTAAAATAATCTAAATTAAAAGTTCGATTAAAAAACGAAAATAACGTCAACGAGAATACAGAATGTGTAATTGTTACTAAGAAAACATTATTTAGTATTCCTGTTTGCTTCATGTTTAATTAATTTAATTGACTAATTGAATAATTCAAATTGCAACACGAGCAATATATATTGTATTTGACTACAAGCACTGACCATGCCCCAAAATTACATTATTTTATTTTATTTGTATTGATGAAATGAAGATTTGATTAAATTTTTGAAATGGAATATCTAACGGTTTCGGAGATCCAATAAAAATGTAAACTAGTTGTGCATGGCGTCGTGCCTTAAGGCAAATTGCTGGAACTTTCCGTACCGAAACGAAATGTTTGAGGAATATTAAATGTTTTCAAATAGATTATTATAAATGTTATAAAATTGTATAATATTTATAAGAATTATAAAAACTGAATTGCAAAGTTGAAATTATTTGTTTAAAGTATATTAGAACTTTAGTCTGAATTAAACTTAAAATCTGAATTATTTGCGATATACAAAAGAATTTTTTGTCAAAATTAGCAGAAAGTTTTTTGAATCATTTAAATCAGATGCTTTGTTCTCTCAAAAACTGATATTTTTTGCACATTTAGCTCGGTATCTTTGAAACGACGGTACCTGCCTTTGCCAAAATCTAATCACTACTTTCCCACATCATTACGAATTAAATGTTTTTTAGATCATTCAAATCGGATGCTCCGTTTTCTCAAAAAGTCGATTTCTATTTTCTGCACTTTTTGCTAAGTATCTCCGAAACGGCTGGACCTGCCTTTGCCAAAAACTAATCAGCACATCTCCCTATCAATAGGAATCGAATGTTTTTTGAACCATTCAAATCGGTTGATCCGTGCGCCCGAAAACGTGAACGAAAAAATGCGGACAAAGCACACACACATCCATTTTTTCGGAAGTATGCCAAAATGTTCAGAAACCTCTGAAACGTGAAGAAATTTAAAAATTTTCAAATTTGTTTAAAAAATTTCAAAATACTCAAACATATAATTATGCGAAATTAAAAAAAAAAAAAAATTTTGAAGCGTTTTTATGAAATTTAATTTTCAGTACGATAATTAGAGCTATTTGAAAAATATAATTTTTTCAAAGTTTAAAAAAAAATTAAATTGTTTTTAAAAGTTTTAATTTTGGTTTTTGAAGTTCCAGCAATTTGCCTAAAGACACGATGCCATGCACCACTTGTTTAAATATTTATTTATCTAATTCACAACTAAGTTAATGACATCACGAATTATATAATAACATCAAATATACATTTATATTTATAAATATTTATATTTCAAGAAAAAACACATATAAAAATTACTATAAAATAAATTTAATTTAATAAACTAAATGTTGTACTCTCGGTGCTATCACAAAATATAAAATGCATCCTATGAATAAATATTTTAGTGTGTAATGCAGCACTTTTAACCTAAAAATAAAACAATATAATAGATTAATAAATCTAATAACTCCATAATTTATCATTTATGTTAAATTCATCGTTTTCACCTGTTATATTTTTTATATTCAGTAGGATTTTCTGGTTCCTTCAGAAGATATCTAGATGATCCTATTCTAGCGTCCCATGAAAATGAATAAACATCAATCTTTTCCATGTCGTAGTCGAAATCGTTTCTATAATTAAATTTAATACGAAATCACAAATCAAATTTATAATTGCGAATTTAGTTTTGAACTAAACTAATTTAGGAGCAAATTGTATTTTATTTTTTTTTGGTGCTAAAACTGTGAAAATGCTATTTATTTTCTGTCTCTTTATTAATGTAGGAGCAAATTGTATTTTATCCTTTTTTCTTGGTACTAAAACTGTGAAAATGCTATTTATTTTCTGTCTCTTTATTAAATTAGGAGCAAATTGTATTTTATCCTTTTTTCTTGGTACTAAAACTGTGAAAATGCTATTTATTTTCTGTGATCAGTCGTATTTTACGATTGGCGCTTTATAGTTACATTTATTACCCACCTGTCTTCAGGTAACAAATTGTGCAGCGAATGCCAAAAGTTTTCACTTTTGAAGTCCCAATTTCTGGTTGAAAATAATCCGACTGCCATAATGGCAGCATATGCTTTTCGTAGAATCTTCATTAACCTTGATCAAATTATTTAATTAATTAACAAATAATAAAACTAGTTGGTATTGGTATTTTGTCTTGAGGCAAGTTACATGAACTTCCCGAAATGTGTAAATAATCGACTTAATCAATTAAAAATAAATTAATTTATGAGTGATTATAAGTATTCCGAGTGGATTTATTACACGTCATTGAAAACGAACGAACGAACACGTTAACTCGGAGTATTTTCTAAAAACAAATTTTCCAAAATCAATAATTTTCATAATTGAACCAGTTTTCGTAGGACTTTATTGATTTAGTATGTTCAAGACCAAGTACACTATCGTTATACCAACTAAATCATTTAATTTTATTTTTAACAAACGTCAAAAAAACTACTCATTTTCTCAAACTTTGATGAATTTTTAAAATTAAACTACTTGTCGTAAGGCCGTAATATTACAGCAAGTTCTACAAGGCCATGATATATCGCAAAAAAAGTTCCATGAAAATCGCCTTAAATTCTTTTTTCAACAGTTATTTACTAGAAAACGGCTCGGTAGATTTTCCCCCAAAACTAATCAGTATTATTCCCAACTAATATCTTTCGAACAGTTTTTGATTTTTTAAAATCGATTCGGTAGAATGAGCTTAAATGTGGACGAGAAGTTTAACACTTTTTTCGAAATTACAAAGAAACGGCTCGGCCGATCGTCGCACAAAACTGAGAAACGATAATCCTCATCGAGATACATCAAATGCTTTTCAAATATCTGAAATCGGTTCAGGCGTTTTTGAGCAAACGTCGATGAAAGTTCTAATTGTGACAAATGCCAAAAAGACCATACTAATTTTTTCAAACTTTGACGAATTTTTAAAGCTAAACCAGTTGTCGTAGGGCCGTAATATTTTAGTATGATCTAGAAGACTATGGTCAGAAAAAAATCATAAAAATCGTCGATTTTTTTTTCAAACTTTATTACAAGAAAACGGCCCGGCCGATCTCTACCAAAAACTGATCAGCACGATTTCCAACCAATATCTTTCGAACGGTTTTTGAATTTTCAAAATCGATTCAGAATTGCGGGCTAAAACGTAGACGAAATTTTTTTCACTTTTCTGCGATTTATAAAGAAACGGCTTGGCCGATCGTCGCACAAAACTGACAAGTAATAGTCCTCATCGAGATACATCGAATGGCTTTTAAATTTTTAAATCGGTCCAGCCGTTTTTGAGAAAACGTCGATTTACGGCAAAAAATCTGTTCACATACACGCACACACACATACTTTTTCCAAATTTGGTCTCATTCGATTCAGAATGGCTTGAAACGTCGAGAAAACATAAAATTAGCGATTCGGATTTTTTGATGAAAACATAAACTTCTCCTTCGTGATGTTAAAAATGGTGAAAAATGCTACACTTGGGTTTACTTACATTGGTTTGCGTCCTGTGATTTTTAAAAGGCTGTCCAGGATGAATCCTGGGATAATATTAAAGGAGAAAAACTGAAATAGAAAATAGTTATAAAGTAGTTCTCTATCAAAGTCCAGTGGTTAAAATCTATTACATAATCTAATATACCAGTAACCAAAATTTGATCCAACTGCTGGTCAACGTACAACTTGGGTACCACAAAAGTTTAAAAGGCGATTTCGAGTATAATTCCATCCCGATTTCGTAGACCTCTTCTTGAGTCTTAATAACTTTATCGCAAATCGAACAATTGTAAATCGGTAGATTACTTTGAGGGCCCCTAAACAACAAAATGATAAATCAATTTTTTATAAAAAAGGAAATTTGGATGCAAATTACTTTTTAGTCAACTTATTCCAAGTTGCAACCAGGAGGCCTTTGATAACGACATCTACTGGTGCATAGTCTAGTATGATTTTGGGGTTGGCGTAAGCGACTCTCAGAAGGCCTAAATTAATACAAGTTTTATTTGCTGCAAATCTGGAAATTTATATTTAGAGTTTACCCTTTCCGACGGCAACAGTCAAACCTACAGGGCCATTCCAATTGTCAATCCATCCTGGAATTGGTTCCTTCCAAGCAGACACGACTGCAAATGGAAATATAATGTCATACTACTTTATGAATGGTGATTTGTCAGAAATTGCTACTTACCAATGCCTGGTCTGTATAAAACCAAGGGCAGCCTGTCGCTGTAGTCTTCCACGATATTTTCAGCTAGATGTTTGGTGTACAGATAGGTATTTTTTAATCCTCCTAGACATCTAAAAATAATCAAAACATATATATCTTGATAATTGATTTCTCATGTTTTGGAACCTGATACTACTTACTTTTCAGTGAGGCATGCAAGTTTATATTCATCATTATAGTTCTCTGCCAGTCTGATGGCTTCCCTCCAATCTCCGTGGTCTCTGTTCACTTTTTCTTCTATGGTGTCTTTATCAGTATTGCAATAAGTAGTCGACACATGGACACCAACCACCAAATTGGGCATTTGCAACATCAGTTCTATCATTTCTCGTGTTCCTCGAGTATTCATCAAAGTTGCCTTTGTTAAATGATCATCGAATCTAACAAATGCACAAGATAAATTATTTTTGTTTAGATCAAAGATCTTGATTTGACCCACCTGACACTGGCGGCCACATGGAATACAATGTCCGATCTGAGTACTAATTGTTTGTCAGGTTCGTTCAAACCTAATTGGAGTTGAGTGACGTCACCAGATACTGCTACCACTTTTTCAAATACTTCAGGCGTTTTTTCTTTTACCAAACTGAATAACTGCAAAAGATGATAAATGAAATAATCGCAGGGCTTTTAGTTAATATCAGTATTTAGTAGGGTTTATACAAAAACCGACATTTCAGAAAACCGGTTTTCGAATTTTAATTTTACTAAAAAACCGGTTTTAACCGCTTTCCGAATTTTATATAGAAAATAAATTTTTGCTCGAATATTCTGTAATTTATCCGCAAATTTAGTGTAATTTAGAGCAGTATTTGACTGAATTTATTTATTGTTTAATTTTATAGATAGTAAACAAAATTATTTTAATTTTAATTAGTAGAACTAAAATATAGTTTGTTATCTTACTTAGATTATCTTGATTAAATAACTTTGAAAATAATTATTCGTTATTCATGCATCATTTTCACATATAAGTGTGAAAATATTTTTATGATAGTAAAAAGAAAGTTTCGAATAAATAAAAATAATACATTTTTAAATAAAAAAATGCATTAAATTAAAAAAAAATTTAAAAAATATTAGATACATGTTGATACATACTTGTTAATATCAATTTTAGTTTTAAAAACAATTAAGCTAAACTCGGGTATTTTCTGTTCCGAGCAATTTTAATTAATTAATTTTAAACATTCTAATTGTTTTTTTTGCTTAATAAAATATGAAATAGAAAATATTTTCATACTTGCGACCAAAATATGCTTAATTGTTTTTAAAGTCTGATATAATAAGTTTTTTGTTCTTTAATTTGTGGATTCTACGGTTTAAAACTCTTTTTTTAAGTTTGAGTAGAGGAAGTTACTTCTTCAAAAAAAGTCACACTGATTTAAATTAATGTATACACTGGTATATAAATCTAAATTAATATATACAAATCCTTTCTGGAAACCATTGCAGACTGATAAGATATCGTATGTTATTAAACCGATATGATTTCAAAAATCAAAACGCTTTCATCTATCTTTTATATTTGGCTATATTTGTCATTTTCTATTTATACAGTAAAAACCGACTTTTTTCACTAAAAAACCGGTTTTCTAATTCCATGATTTTCGCCAAAAAACCGGTTTTTGAAAACCGACAAACCCTAGTATTTAGTGTTACCAGATTACAGTGATCATTATCGAGTGTTACCTCATTTTGAAAAATTTCCTCGAGTCGCTCCTCAATCGGTTTGCCCTTTTTCTCTCTAAGAAGCAAATACATGACTTTGAAATCGGGACAACTCCTTAGAATCTTCTCTATCAAGACTTTTCCTAAAAAACCTAAAAAAAACATCATGTTACATATTACATTTACAAATATTTATATAAGAAATTAGGTACCTGTTCCCCCAGTGATGAAAATTCGTTTATTTTTAAAAGATTCCGGAATACTCGGCACGTCCATGTCTGAAACTTTTTACCACAATTTTTAAACTTACTAAAATTTCAACAATAAACCTTTCACATTTGTTTAAACAAAATCTATTTCCTTTATACCTTTTCTATTTCTGGTGTGAATTAACTGAAGGCCGAGTCGCGACTAAAATATTTTATTTTTAAATTGAAAACTTGTAATGTAATATTGTTATCAAAAAGCACTATTAAACATTCTAATTTGCTTCCTGCTTCAATGACTAATTGAATAATTTAAATTGCAACACGAGCACTGTATATTGAATCAACATGGATTCATGCCTGCCCGTTCTACAATAACAAATTTAATCTGTATTAAACAATATATAGCTGAGAATCTTGACACTAATGGACAAGTTGATGTTATTTACACTGACTTCAGTAAAGCTAATGACTAATTGAATAATTTAAATTGCAACACGAGCACTGTATATTGAATCAACATGGATTCATGCCTGCCCGTTCTACAATAACAAATTTAATCTGTATTAAACAATATATAGCTGAGAATCTTGACACTAATGGACAAGTTGATGTTATTTACACTGACTTCAGTAAAGCTTTTGACAAAATTGATCATAACATTCTTTTTACTTAATTATCTAAGATTGGTCTGAATTCTTCACTTATTTATTTTTTCATAATCGTAAACAGTTTGTCTATCTTAATGGATTCTTGAGCAATATTGAAAATATCAGTTCTGGTGTTCCTCAGGGACCCATTCTTAGTTCACTACTATTTATTATTTTTATTGATGACATATTTGAAATTATTAGCTGTCCACATTTATTATTTGCAGATGATCTCAAACTATATCTCAAAATAAATTCTATTGATGACTGCTTATTATTACAGTCTCAACTTGACTCTTTCCACTCTTGGTGTGTCTATAACAAATTACATTCAAATATATCAAAGTGCAAGATTTTTAGCTTTTCTCATAAGCGCGTCCCAATACATTTTGATTATAAAATTTCTAACACCAGCATTGATAGATGTAATAAAATTTCAGATTTAGGAGTTCAAAATTAGAATATGGTTCGATTATTTGGTATCCTCATCAAATCAACAACTCTGATGCGATAGAGAAGGTTCAGCAAAAATTTCTGAAATATCTTTTATTATTATTATAAAACATATAAAATTTACCCTGAACGTGGCTTTTGATTGACCACAACACTTTACTAAAAGAATTTAGTATTCCTTTCCTTGCCTCACGTCGATTTATCTGTACAATTATGTTCTTATTCAAACTTTGCAATAATTCTATAGACTGTCCTCTTATTCTTAACCAACTATCCTTTAATGTCCTAATTATTTTTCAATTATGCTACTCCTAAATCTAATTCTCTCTTAAATTGGCCTATTTCACTTATGTCCTCTAACTTTAACTTTAACTTAATTAATAATGAAATAGATATTCACAACACTTCACCTAATAATCGAATAATCTCCATCTGCACAAGTTAACCTTTTTATTTTCTTTTCAAATATCTCATTATTTTATCTTATTCTGTTTATAAATAATATTGTTACATTCTGCATTATATGTAATTTTATGTTAAGCATTTTATGTTAATAACTATATATTGTAATTTTGTATATATTTTAATTGTTATTCATTATGTAAAATAATTGCATTTTTGAGTCCTCTTGGAAGAAATCTGTGGGCTATATATTTGAAATAAATAAATAAATAAATAAATATACTATTCGAATGCAGGCACTAGTCATGATCTAAAATTCGTTAAAATCGAAATCAGAAGTTTGATCGTATTTATAAGTTTTGAAAACTTCAATGACAATATATATCCTTTCTCCAAATTGGCCATCAATTTGAATATTGGTAACCTCTCATAAATTTGTTCCTTTCTAAAAGTTGTCAATCTATCGCAATTTTGGCAACCTTTTTAAAAATTTGTAATCTTTCTAAAATCAGAAAAACTCTTTAAAATTTTCCAAAAACCACTTATTGATCTCTCTGAAAATTTGTATTCTTTCTGAAAATTGGTCACTTCACTGAAAGTTGGCAACGTTTTCTGAAATTTGCAATATTCCTGAAAATGGGTAACTTTTCTAATAACTAAAGTCTCTGATTATATGTAGCCTTACTGAAAATTCGAAACTCTTCTGAAAATTGATAAACTTCGTAAATTGGTTATATTTCTGAAAATAGGCAACCTCTTTGAAAAACTAAGTTTTAGTAAAAATGTCTGTTACAAAATAAATTATTTATTTGGAAAAACAATTAGACCTAAAGACAACAACAAAATTTACAAGTTTTTGTAGTCAATGTTAACTAATAATTTCACTAAAATAAAATTGTTTCTACTGTACTAAATAACTGTTGATCTTTGGCAGTATCACATAGTACAAAAGGCAGGTCCAGAATAAATATTTTATGGAGTAGTGCAGAATCTTCAACCTGAAATTAAACAGACGGGATTAGATGATTTAATTTAGTTAATCAATTTATAAATAATAAATGGATAGTTATGAATAAATCGATGTCAAACAAAAATTATTTCAAGTTGAATTCAACTTAATTATATTAAGTTGAAGTAATTATTAAAAAAAATTCTTTAAAAAAATCTATAGTTTTTTATGGACTACAATTTGAAATCCTCAAACTTCTAAGTTGTTAAATACTTCTGAAAATAACATGATTTTAATAACAGTGTTAATATTGTGTTTGGCGCCGATAGCTTATAGGATATTTGCGTAACTAGAAATTCAAATATGTATAATAAATTAATGTTTGGTTACTTTTGGTACTGAGCCCTGGCACTCGGAAGATCTATTTCCTCTTTCAAAAGATATTTGGACATTCCAATTCTGGCATTTCTGGCGAATTCCCGAACGTTGAGTTTACTTCCGTCGACATCAAAGTCTTTCCTGGAATAAAAAAAAAAATTATTCAATTTGATAATATTAGAATTTTTTATGAAAAATTTGAACTTACCTGTCGCTTCCTAGAAGTTCCTTACTGAGATTCGTAAAGTTTTTGGATTTAAACAGCCAGTTTCTCGAAACGAAATACGAAACTGATATTATGGCGAAGTAGACTTTTCTTGTCAGTTTGCCCAGCCTAGGAATTAGAGTTAATAGGAAATGTTATTAAGTGGTGTACCTCAAGGATAGAATCTGATATTTCGGAACTAGGGAGGAAACTTCATTAAATGAAATTAATATATTAATAGATGAGTTGCTGCAAGGTATTATAATGTGAGATTGTTTAATTTTGTACAAATCTTCCAAATATGCTAAGTATTTTTGACAAATCGTGTAAATAATACGCATTATCAAAAAAGAAACATGCGCCTGATGCATACAAGAAGTATTTTCAATATTTTAATTAATGTTAGTAATTAATCTAATTGTCGTATGTCTGGAAGAATGATGAAGAACTCTTCATACACTCGTCAAGAACTCGTCATACAATGTTTCATTAAATTTCACAAAAAAATCTAACATAAATGGACGATTTTTGCCAAAAATTAATGATAACGATTACCCATACATTGATATAGATATTACGAAACCGTGGAAAATTTTACAATTTGCTGCTAATTCTAAAGAAACTGCTCCGACGATTGTCTCCCAAACTTGACAAACACTACTCTTCATTGAATAATACCAAATGGCTTTTAATTTTTTGAAATCGTTTTAGGCAAAATAAATAAAACTGGACAAAATACTGCTCATACATACACACACACACTTACTTGTTCCCGAAGGAGAAGTTTACGTTTTCACCAAAAAAATCGATTTGCTAATTTTATGTTTTTTCGACGTTTCAAGTCATTCTGAATCGAATGACATCAAATTTAGAAGAAGTATGTGTGTGTGCATATGAACAGAATTTTTGTCGTAAATCGACGTTTTCTCAAAAACGCCTGAACCGATTTCAGAAACTTAAAAGCCATTCGATGTATCTCAATGAGCACTATAGTTTGTCAGTTTTGTGAGACGATCTGCCGAGCCGTTTCTTTGTAATTTAAAAAAGAGTGTTAAACTTTTTGTTCACATTTAAGCTCATTATACCGAATCGATTTTAAAAAATCAAAAACTGTTCGAAAGATATTAGTTGGGAATGATACTAATTAGTTTTAGGTACAAATCTACCGAGCCGTTTTCTTGTGATTAACTGTTGAAAAAAAATTTAAGCCGATTTTAATGGAACTTTTTTGGCGATATATATCATGGTCTTTTAGAACTTACTCAAATATTACGGCCTTACGACAAGTAGTTTAATTTTAAAAATTTATCAAAGTTTGAGAAAATGAGTAGATATACTACTATTTATAGTATACGATTTACTTGGTATAACGATAGAGTACTTGGTATTAATAAACATACTGGCTTAGTTATAAAAAAATATTGAATTTTAAAATTTTGCTTTTCGAAAATACTGTGAGTTTAACGTGTTTGTTTGTTTTCAATTATGTGTAAAAAATCCACTCGGAATACATTTAATCACTCATAAATAAATTTATTTTTTATTGATTAAGTCGATTATTTACACATATCGAGAAGTTTATGTAACTTGCCTCAAGGCAAAATACCAATATCAACTTGTTTTAAAGTTGATCTAAAACGAATCAGAATGACTTGAAAGGTCGAGAAAACTAAAAGTTTCAAGAAAAAAAACTTCATGTTAAAAATTGCATTTTTACTCACATTGGTTTTTTCCCAGCTACTTTCAGCAATTCGTCCACAAGGACTGCTACCGAAGCATTTAGTAATACGAACTAAAATAATAGGGATATACATATATATATATATATATATATATATATATATATATATATATATACATTTGGCAGTCTATTACTATTATTACCAGAATTCGAAACGTCGTAAGACTTTTTACAAAATAATTAAATGGATACCACATGGTGCCATTAAACGGATAATCGTTAACTTCTGCAAGTGCCATGTCGCGAATTTCTGCATGCGTTTGCTTCATGTAAGTGTTCATGGAGCAATTGT